AGCACATTGCTGGCTGGATGTACCCCCTAGCCACCACAGAAGAAGTGTCAGCTCATCACTTTAGTTCTGGCCTGGCCCCTATAGCTCTCTCAAAACCAGCTGTGGGCACACCTTATATGTTTCTGCATAAAATGGAAACTGGCCACTACAGCTGGGCTTTGCTTCAGTGAGCATGGTTTTTTGGAGTCCAGCCAGCTTCAGAGAATTTATGCAAAGGATCCAGGAAACTCTGAATCATTTCCATTTATGGACATTTTCCTTTAACAATTAAGAACAAAAGGGAGTTAAAAAAAATTTCTTCCTGACTGCTATATTTTATATTGAAAATTTTAATGTCAATGCTGACACAATTAAAACTGTCTGGGGGAGATTTTTTTTAAAGGGCAGGGACCAAAGGCCCATTTTTAATTTTTTTTTTTGCTGGCCTGTTAACAGCCAGTGCTTCAGTTTTTATCACAAGTGAGTTTGGAAGTGGGTGGCATACCAGGCATTCCTTCTGAGAGTTAACTGAGGTAATGATGGAACTCAAGGCAAAAATCAACATGTCACTTGTAATTCTATTTGGGGCTTTGGGGAGGAGCGATGACAGTTCTGTGAAATGATTTACACAGCATTGTAAAGAGAAAAGTCCCTTGGTAATGATTGAGCTGCAAACACAACAGTGGACCCAGGGGACTTCCAAGGCCTCAGTCCCGGTGGCCACGCCCTGTGGGAATGCCCCATTCCTTCCCAGCTCTGTGGCCAGACAGCTTCTGTGGGGAGCATTATCCCCACCCATGCCAGGGGTCATGCTCCCTGGTGACTGTGGCAACTTTGGGGAAGATGATCCAATGGCTGACTTCCTAGAACAAGTTCAAGATGGGTCTGAAATTTGTGCCCCTAAGCAAACATTCTTACCTTTTGTAAGAGGTTTCTAGAAGCAGGGTCCTGTGCAATTCTTGGGCGGGATTTTGGCCTAGGGGCCTGAGATGGTGTCTCAGAGCTAGCAGAGCTGTCAGGATTGGACTCTGCTGAGTTGGGGGTTTTGTTACAACTCTCACAGATACTGATGTGTTTTCAGTGGTTATCTGTCCTTTGCATATTTGATTGAAGCTTGGTCTTAAAAGGGTGAGTTTTTCCTTTTTGTTAGATTTTTTCTTTCTTTTCTTTTTTTTTTTTTTTGAACCAATTTACTGAAAAGCTATAATTTATCTACAAGCAAATTTATTCTTTTCAATGTACAATTGGATTATATATATATATATTTCAGACTATTTCTTTCATCCCTAAAAAGTCTCCTCATGTCCCAGGGCAATCAGTTCTACCACTGGCAACCACAGTCTGCTCCCTGGCCTTGTAGTTTTTTTTTTTTTTTCTTTTCTTTTTCTAGAATTTCATATAAATCAATGCACATGGAATCGCTTTGTCTGGCTTCTTTCACTTAGCACAGTGCCTTGAGACATTGTTTTAAAATACATCAGTAGTTTACTCCTTTTTATTGCTGAGTAGTATCAAGTTGACTTTTGTCTGAATTTGAAGAAAAAGATGTATTAGGGTCATACAGGAAAACAAATATATTTTTGTTGTTTTTTTGAAAAGCATGCTAATTAAAGTTGATCATAAGAATATATTTAAGGGCTGGGGTTGTAGCTCAGTGGCAGAGTGCTGGTCTCACATGTGTGAAGCCCTGGTTTTGATCCTCAGCACCACATAAAAAATAACACAAAGGTATTATGTCCATCTACAACTAAAAAAAAATTTTAAAGAATATATTTAAACCCATTTGACATTTACAATTGACTTGAAATCTAAGATCCCAACTGACTTTGTTCTAAGTGAAGTTTTAAATGCAAAATTTCAATACATTAGACAAGAAAATCTGTGTGTAAAGGGAATTTATAGATATATAGCAAAAAATATAAATTTATTAATAACTCGAAAGTAATTGTTAATAATCTGGAAATTAATCTGGGTTATGTCCACAGTTCCACAGATATTTAAAATTATGATTAATCAATTAAGAGAAGCCTTGAACTAAAAATCCCATCTTTCTTATATGATATTTGTTAGTAATTATAGCAAAGAAAAACTGGTGCTTAGTGGTAATAATTATAACAACAACATCACTAATATTACAAAAGTAAAAATTATAGTTATATTTATGTAGTGTATGTTATGTGCTTGGTGCTTTTCTGAGCAATATACAGGTCATTAACTTATTTAATTTTCCCAACAACACTATGGTAAGTGTTTTATTGTTAGCCCCATTTTACAGATGAATAACTGAGGCTCAGGGAAAACTAAGCACCCTACCTTAATAGTGTGAAGTCAGGTTTGATCCTGGAACTCTGCAGCACTCTGCCTGAGCAATGTATCAGAAAAGAATTCTTTCTTCAGTCTTTATTTTTATTTATTTATTTTTATGTGGTGCTGAGGATCAAACCCAGGGCCTCACATATGCAAGGCAATTGCTCTACTGCTGAGCTACAACCCCAGCCCCCAGAGAAGAATTCTTAAAGTGGTAAGAATTCTAAAGGTGGTGGATGAAGCCACAGCAGGAGTTTCAAGCCTGAGCCAGACAGGTTGCTTAGATGTGTGAAGAGGCCCAGAATAAGGCAAAGAGGTAGGAGCTGAGAAAAACTGGAGAGTGCATGCCTAAGGCATTTTACATTTTACAAAATGGTTTAAAATCCTGTACTGTTCACCTAAGAGAAGCTGTGGGTTTGTTTGGACCCTAAGGACCTGCCGCTCATTTTCTGCCCTGGTTCAGTTGACCTCTGGGGTCTTTTCAGAGCTAATAGCTTGAGAAAATCAGAAGTATTTGCTCAAATTCTCTAGGTTTATGGATGTATGCCAGTCATCCACAATCTGTCTATCTTATAATGACTGTCAATAAATAATCTTTGATTTCATGTTCAATTTATTTAGTACTGTGAATTTGTCTTTTTTATGATGCCTTTTAGTCTAACAAAAATTTATAAACTGTGGAGCCAGATTGCCTGGTTTGGGATCTTGGCTTTGCCACTTTAAGCCTGGTAAACCTTCCCATGCCTGTGTTTGCTCATTTGTGAAATGAGGAAATTAATAACAGTCCACTTATTGTTAGGATTATTCTAAAGAGTAAAGGGTTAATATGTGTAAAGGTTTACAGCAGTAACTGACAAATAGTAGGCATTACCTCTGTGTCCACCATTATTATTATCACTGTCCACAAATGATGATAGATGAAAATATCTGTTACAACTTTCCAGATATGAGAAATTATAACAATCTATGCTAAAATGAAATTTATCTTTAAGGCTTTGTTTTGCAGGGCCCTGTTCTTGCTTCTGCAGAATGGCTGAGCACCATGGATGTGTAGACCTGCAAGGAGCATGGTACTCAGACACAGAGATTCAATCTCCATCATGCACCAGCTACTAGAAGGGGAAATTCTAGATACCTGGTCTCTGGGAATTGAAATGTTAGCAGTAACTGGACAGTGAGTTTCAAGATCCTGGGCAGAATTGAAGAGAATCAAGCCTGGGATGAGAACATTGAAATTTCCTTTCTATTCCTCATTTTTTGTGATGGAGATTTTAGAGTGGGTGCCAGCCAGTTTGCTGGAACTTGCCCTGCCCCTGCTGTTCTTTGGTGCTCTATTCAGATCCTGCTTATGCCTGAACGTCTAGTTCTCGCTCAATATTCTGTACAAAGCCATCCACACTTATCTTAGGCAGCCCACACGGGTCTCAGTTATGTGCACAAACTGAAATTCTTACACCTCTGACAATACTGTATGTATGGATTGAATTGTTAGTTGTCTTAGATCATTATCCATAGACCTATTTAGAGAACGGTCATTAGTGTATTCAGTGCACAGGTATTTATCGAGAGCCTTTGTGGGCCTTAGTGATGGGGTACCAGAGTGGTTGTTTTGGATAGATTGTCTATACATACACTGTGTATATATAAACTCTGGTAACTTTTGTCTCCACCAGGAAGCAAAGCTTTTTCTTTGACAGCTTGCGCTCTCTCTCTCTCTCTCTCTCTCTCTCAGTTATCCCCAGGAGAAGAGATGGTATAGATCCTACCAAGATTTGCAGTTTTTCTGGGTACTATTTCACCCAGCACAGTGGATTTGGATGATGCTCACAGCTGGTCTCAAGAAACATTTTCCAATGAGAACATGGAAAATGGCATGAGAAATATGTTCTGAAATGTTAAAGGAAGATGAAATCCAGATCCTCTTTACTACTCAATTGAACAGAACATTTATTGAGCACTGAATGGGAGCAAATCATGGTCCTGGTTGTCAGGGCTGCAAAGTGTGATACCTAGTCTTCCCAGGGAGGCCTCCTGTCAATCAGTGACCTGATGAGTTGCTAGCCTAGGGGCTGAAGAGTCAGGGAGGCCCAGGAAAGGAACCTTGGTCCAGCCTGGTGATGGTGGGGGCAGTGTGGTCTTAGCAGAGTGTATGGGCTGGGGTACTGCTACTGTATTTCAGAGAGGTGACCCTCCTTGGAAGGGTGAAGAGGATCCTGTTGGGACTCTGGGACTGACCAGTCTTCCCTAATGTCTTTTAGAACAGAGCCCAAAGAGGGCTGCTGGCTTATTTCTGAGTCCGTGCCCTTGAGAATAGGCCTCCCAGTTTGAGGAAGGGGGTGCCGCTCTGCACCTCAGTGAATTCTGCCTGGGACCACCCGGGAGAGGGATCTGGCACATTCCGGGAGAACGATCCCCGGGCCACAGTGTCTGCGCCACGCCCTTGGCTCGGCCAGGTGTGCGCGCTCCTTGCGGGAGGCGAGGGGGGAGCGGGCCGGGGAGCGCGTTTACAGCTCGCGTGCGCTGTTTGTCTGCCTCGGAGGGCTGGGTCCTCCTTGTTCACAGGTGAGTCACGCCCTGAAACACAGGCTCTCTTCCTGTCAGGACTGAGTCAGGTAGAAGAGTCGATAAAACCACCTGATCAAGGAAAGGGAAGGCACAGCGCAGCGCGAGGACTCCCGGCGGCCGAGGCGCCGGGCAGCGACCCCCGCCCGGCCATGCCCGCGCTCTGGCTCAGCTGCTGCCTCTGCGTCTCGCTGCTCCTGCCCGCAGCCCGGGCCACCTCCAGGAAGGAAGGTGAGTGGGCTCCGCGACAGCCCTGGCTGCAAACCTGCCTCTCTCTGCAGACGGTGAGGGCTGAGCACCTCGGAGGATTCCCAGCCCCTTCTCCCCTGCATATGGGGGTCCTCCAGGGATCGGTTTCAAATAACAGGAATATTAGAAAAATCCCGATTTAAAAAGTGTGTTTTCCTTACTTTTAAAATGTTTCTTCTTGATTTTCTTCTTCTTCTTCTTTTCCGCCAAGAGGCCCCTGTTTAATCAGTAATAGGTATAGGAATGTTTTCCCAGGGTGTGTTTTATTAATGGGACTCGGGTGGGAATTTTGCCACGGCTTATGAACACCATGAAGGTTGAAAATGAACTTCTTCAGTAATCGTGTAATTCATGTTCCATTTTGGGGATGGAAAATCCTTTAACTTTTGTATAAGATTACTTTTTATAATTTTTCATGCATTATTCATTCAACACGCATTTATAGGGCATCTATGTCCTATCATTTGATCCTGTCTAGGGCACCCGGTGGCTGTCATGTCTTGAGAAGTTAAGTTCATGTAAACAAAACTTTTTGAGAACCTAGCAACTGTTGACCATACATGTGTGTCAGCTCAGACCACATATAACACATAACGGGTGTTTTATCGCTATCCATGATATTTTCGTGTGTAATTACCCTGAGTTTTTACATTTATATTGCTTTCTGGTGGCATTTCAATGATTGATTCAGTAGATCCATAGCCAAGAGCCATTTTCACACCATGTATTGGTTACAGTCTTTTTTTTGTTTCCCCTAAAATTGTCTTGGAATGAACTTTCACCCTATTATCCTGACTGCTATTTTAAAAACCATGTATGAGCTAGGTGTGGTGATGCATGTCTGTAATTAATTCCAGCTTCTGGAGAGGCTGAGGCAGGAGAATTGTAAGTTTGAGGCCAGCCTGGGCAATTTAGCAAGACCCTGTCTTAAAATATTAAAAAGGGCTAGGGTTATAGCTCAGTGTTAAAGCACTCACCTAGCATGAATAACGCTCTAGGTTTGGTCCCAGTACCATAATAACAAATAAGTTAATTAATTTTAAAAACCATGAATGATTGCTACATGCACAAAAAATGCAATTGTGAAATAATGAATATGTTCATTTGTTTGACTTTGGTGACCATTTCACCATGTATGAGTATATTGAGACATTATGTGGTATACTTTAAATACATACAATAAAAATTTTTTAAATGTATGAAAAATGGCCATGAAGGGTAGATTCCCTTAGGGTTAAGATAATAGTTGTATCCTAGTAGAAAATATCATAAAAGTAGGAATATTCTCTGAATACTAGAATTAAAAAGGGGCAGCTATGGATCAACTACTTAGAATCCCTTGATTTAAAAAGTAAGAAATGGGAAGTAGATTTGCTCCAGGGCACACAGGCAGCTACTGCTAGCGATGGAGCTGGCCTTTGATCCAGAGGTTCTTAGAGACTATTTTTGACCACATTATAAAGGTGAGGGAATAAGGAATACACACACACACACACACACACACACATAGTGTACACTATTACATATATTTTTTAAAAACACTTTTAGTTGTAAATGGACACAAATACCTTTATTTTGTATATTTAGTTTTTAAATATAGTGCTGCTGGGGATTGAACCCAGTGCCTCATGCACGCTAGGCAAGCAGCTCTACCACTGAGCCACAACCCCAACCCTATATGTATGTTTTTAACCTGATAGATAATTATTGGAGCGAATTTCCCCTTGGCTTCAGTTGAATGTATATGTGTGTGTTAGCATTAGGTAACAAAAATAAATATGTAGACTGCTATAGATTGTTTAATGAAATCAGACTCCCCAGTACAAAGCTGGGACTCCCTTGGCAAAAATGAACTGCTTCTGGGCAGCCCATGTAAACACAAAGTTAGAAGCAATGTTCAGGCTCATTTTCAGCCTTTCTCCTACCTTGGAGGTAGTCTGCTTAAGATATTATGTTCCCTCCTCAAAAACATTCATTTGGGGGCTCAAAGAAAATGTGAATAGGTTGGGGTTGGGAAAGAGTGCTCAGACTTTTCCATTCATGACATGCTGGCATGTGCTGAAAGTATGGTACCTGCCCCATTTCAGAGTGACCCGCTTCTGAGGGTCCTGTGGGCTGTACCCATGTAGAAGCTGAAGCTGCTTACTGCTTGTTCTGCTGCAGGTGAAGCTGTGATAACAGATGTGGCCAGCAGGACTTTCGGGGTTGGTCTCAATAAAAGCTTTGGAGTCAGCCTGACCTGGCTGCACATTTGACCCATTCACTTACTAGTTCCTTATTTGAATGTTGTCAGGCTCCTCAACTGCTTGGAGTCTGCTTCTTCACACGGTGAGTGGAAGCGGTAGTACTATACAACCTTGCAGGGTTGTTGAGAGGCTGGAGAACTATGGTGAATGGCCTTAAAATGCCTGGAACCCCATTTCTGTAAAAAGACTGCAGGCAGCAGTACAGGTGTAGTGAACTTGATGATGGGGTGAGAGCGCGTGGCATCCAGAGAAACGAAGCCACGGGTCTGTCTTGAAGGGCCTTTGGGGGCAGGCTGTGCAGTTAGGATGGTGCCCTGGGGGCACAGAGTTGCTGCAGATGGTTTGGATGGGTATGATTGGATCTGTTTTCGGAAGGTCACTCACTTCAGGGCTTGGAGGATGGGATGGAGCTAGGAGAGCCAAGTAAAGGGCCACTGTAGTAATCCGAGTGAGAGATGGTGAGGGATGCCATCCTGGTGGTGGAAACGCATGAGGAAACGGATTACAGAAACGCTCACACGGTAAAATCTAAAGAATTCGGCAATCCAGAAAGTGTGCATTAAGGCTATGAGTAAGGGGAAATTGAGAGAAATAAGGAAGGGTCCAGGGTGGATCTGAGGCTTTAGGTCTGTGTGAAGGGAATGAAGACTGTAAGAGGAGGATTCGATTTGGGAACAAGCTTGGGCCGTGAGTGGAGAGGAGGAGGCGTTCCCGTGGAGATCTGCTGAATCAGAGACGCCAGTGGAGATGAGCAGCCGTGCCCATGAAGGTCAGAGCTATAAGTTTTAGACATTTAGAAGAGAGATTTGAGAGCCCACAAGTGGAAAGCAAAGCCTTGGTCACAGATGAGATCACCTGGCATGTAGAGGTAGACGAGCTGGACGCCCCAAAAGAGCTAGAGGAACAATGAAGGAGAATACGATACGGCACTGAGGCTAGAGGAGAATCAAGAAGACCAGTGCTTTGTTAGTCGGAGGAGGAATTTCAGCAGCCGAGGCGTAGTAGCTGGCATCAGGTGTCCAAATGTGTCTGTATAAGGGATAGGGACTAAAACAACACTGGTCATTTAAGAATGACCAATGTGAATGGAAAGCGTAAATACGGTTACTTACGCAGCCATCAGGTGAACTTTAAAGCAATTTTTTCTTTAAGATTGGTGAATTCAGAATTTGTGATTATTGTAGATCATTCATTTGGCTTTTCCTATGCCTTGATACTGGGAAAGAGGTGCCGTGGATAGGAGAAAGGATCCCCGGGAAGGTGTGGGCTCCCTCGTGGATCCTGTTATTTAAATAGTTGAAGTGTTTTGCAGAGAGATGCAGGCACTGGAGTCAGACAGCCCAGGTTCAAATCCTAGCCCCATCATTGACCATTGTGACACACTTACCTTGAGACTTGAGCAAACTACTCCGTCTGTTGCTCAGTTTCTGTTTCTCTAAAATGAGCATGAGGAATTATTGTGATCATTAGGTGAAAAGCACTTTGCCTGGTGCCTGGCAAACAGCCAGTCCGTCCTTAGTGCTCTTACTGTGAGGACTACCGCCCTGAGAGGGCCAAATGTCAGCAAATTGCCTTCTGGGTTTCAAGTGGTGAATTTTTTGAAAGGGCCTATGTTAGTCAGCTTTCCTTTATTGTAACAAAATACCCGAGATGATCAACTTAAAAACAGGAAAGATTTACTTGGGCTTCAGTTTTAGAGATATCAGTCCATGATTGTTGATTCCTCTGCCTTTGGGTACATCAAACTTGCGGTGCAGAAAACTGTTCACCTTATGGTGAGTGGGGAGAGATGGGGAGGGAGAGAGACAGAGAGAGACAGAGAGAGATCCCACAATCCCTCAAGGGCACTGCCCCAGTGACCTAAAACCTCTCTCTAGGCCCTACCTCCAAAGCTCCACTCCTTCCAGTAGCACCATGAGCCTTCAACATACTGGGTCTTTGGAGGAAATTCCATATCAAAACTATAGCAAGGCTTTTACCTCTAAGAAATGTTATCAGGAGTCTTTCTACTTTGGTTGAAATGAGCCCCAAGTTTTACTCAGTAACACAAGTGATGACCCAAAGCAGATTGGGATTCCCAGATCAGATTTCATGTCGTTCTTGCCTTTTGTCACTCACAGACCTCATCATACAGATTCATCAAATCGGTCACTCTAGGATATGCCCAGAACACCAGGTGACCCCATTTTTTAATGGAAAGGTTCCCCCTTGACTCCCCTCAAAATAATTTTGGCCAACTTGATGTTGAAAACATTTAACAATATAGATGCAGTAGTTAAACATCTCTTAGTATTTAATTTAGTAAATTAGCCCCACAGACATATTTAAAGTCAGTAATTTATAGAATAAATATCAACATATCCGTATTGATTTGTTCACATTTCATGAAGTAATCACATTCACTCTTTCCATTCACATCTGTCATTCCTAAAGCCACTTTCATAATCTCTTACTCTAAGCTAGATGACTTGATAGAAGTCCTAAATCTCTTTTGGATACCGTCCCTGGAAAGTATGCAATTTCCAAAACTTTGGAAAAGCTTACAAATTATCCTGAAGTACTCATTGCGATCTTTGCAGCATATCATCTTGAACTTATTTATGACAATCTCAGCACTCAGGAGAATGCACAATTATGAGAATTGTGTTGAGGGCTTGGCCTCTTTCTTACTGATAAGTACCCAATACAGTGATGAAGGACACTTAGCTTAACATGTCTTCCTCAAACAACACTTAA